TTTCCTTATCCTTTAAGTGACGACTATGAATATGAATGGCCCTATCCAAATACAAGATTGTTGTTGACTTCCTTAAATAGCGAGTTTCAACAACTGGAAGACTATTTGTTGTTTCCCACCTTTTATTTCAAAATAAATTTCTATACTAACCGGTACTGTCCTAAAGTGAAAAGAAAAAGCTGAAATTTCATTAAAATCCGCTCCCTAGTAATCATTTTGCTCGCTTGTAATTGATGAACTTTCTAATAATGGCGAACATTTTGTTTTCTGCAATCTGGAAAATTGAATTTAAAATAAAATATCTACTCGACACACGACCCAAAACTATAAAATAAATATTTGCTTAGTTTTTGTGCAATAATTTAAGATGTTTCACCTTAGCATTTCTTTCATGATTCTGCTGTGTAACTAGTTGCACCAACTTTCTTCTATTACTCATATTAAAAATCTTCACATACAATGTTAATCAAGGATCCGAATCACTGTTTTGCCTTGGATGTTCAGTGATTTTTAATCGTGAAAGTGAAATATAAATGGAAATTCTACATAGTGTGTTCAAAAATTATTACTAAATCACAAATCAAAGGTATACTATAAGAGAAGTTAAAAATTGAACCACCACCACCACCACCTCGTCCATTCTCACTTATTGGCAAATTCGGAATATATAATACGTCATTGGTGATGGGTATAGTTCGTATCTTGTATTATATTAGTAAGAAATTGTTAAAGCTCGCATGCTTCGTTAGAAAACATTTCTCCTATGCTCATGTGCAATACCTAGGGTTTATTCAAATACACATATTCGTGCTACGCATTGACTTGCATCTTTCATGTTCTATTTGAGACAATGTGCTTGTTGAGATTGTTTCGTGAAAACGTTCATATCAATTCCTACAAATCCAGTTTACCATAATTGGTGATGGTGAACCTATTTTTTGTGCTATACTGCTTTTGTTTTCATCAACCCTTTTCATTGACAGTGTGTATCTTATCCTTTGCAATGTGTCACAGCTTCTTACATGGAATGATGAATTTGTTAGGGGGAAAAGGCCTAAAAATAAAATTATTATTTTAGTTTGCGCGCCCTCAGGGATTCCAGACTGCGAAACGGATTCCAAAAGATGGCGCATATCTTCCCTGTTCAGACGAGCCACTCCGCTGAAGACGCGCATGTTGATGTTCGGTTTCTGGCGGGTGAGTTTGGGAACCACGGCAAAGTGGAATTACATAATCGAGTTCTTCCGTAAAACCATGATCTGCAGCTCGATGCTTTCATAATTTGGATAGACTGCCTGGAGACACGGGAACAGATGTGGTAACAGGCACTTACGCAAAGGATTGTCTTGCAATGAATAACGCCATCATGAAAACCTTTACTAGATCACTTCTCTACTCTTATCGGCGAACCATGTGTTGCATGCGAGGAATATGCGTTCAGGTCTGCCGTTCACTCCAGTGGTTTATGGACTTAGCATTTTAGTTTTTTTGCAGTATATTCATCGAAGTAGAATTTAAATAGTAAGATCATATTAATAGATTGAGGGTTCCCATGTATTTGGCAGGCGTATCCGTGAACATACAGGCGACCAATACCAATGTTGAATTTTAGTAATTCTGTTTTTTTACCTGACGAAGCTACTACTTTCATCAAAATCTATCTTTTCGACAGGTGTTTTGTTTAAGTAATTGTAATGTAATATCAAATTATAGATGTTTCGTAACTTTCGTACGTTGTATCAACAAACAGGTTGTTTATAAAAATGTGTGTCTGTTCTTTGTGATGCGTTTTTGCCGAAATATCAGCCACGTCGTTCTACACTCTAGTTTGTTTGATCAGCTAGTGGGTACTCTACTCTGTCGTCTATTCCAAATTCTGTGGTAAAATTGTTCTCAAGTTGTTCAGTTCCTCCACGTCTCACATACGAGTATTTGCTAGTCAATAAGTTGTAATGACTTGTTGTTGTAAGTTGTAAATCTCGTTAGTATATTTACTCTTTGATGGGTAGAGTAGATAGCTAGATCGCACATAACACGTGATGCGTGAATTGTGCCTACTCCATTTCTCGTGAAGTGGTCCCTTCGTATTCGTAGTTCCACTTACAAATGTCGCATGCAGTGCTGTTTGCATGCGCTAACAGCCCTGCGGCATCTGAAAACGTTTGGGGAAGTAACAACCTTTAATCAAGTCAGAGAAAAGTTAATTTTAAAGTACTCAGACAAATCAAATAATTAATCAATTTTTTAATGGAGTATTTAAAAGTAAATTGTACAAAATAAGTTACACCGTGCTTTTTAAAAAAATCGTACGTAAGTTTAACAATTTAATTTCCATTTACATGCACGATTTATATTGAAGTTAATGTCGTTTCATTTTATTTTTCCTAACATCAAAATGTAACTAATTGAATGCGTAAACTGAAATACAAATAGACTTTTGAAAACTTTCTTTTGAATAAACTTGTCATGAAATAAAATGTTCTTAGGAGCTATTAGTTTAGTTTTTTCTCCAAAGCGAACAATTGATGTAGTTGTAGAAAAATGGTTTGCGATGATGGAAATACCACTTCTTGGGCCTCGGCCCCCGCGCACATCGGCAGCGCCTCCCTTCAGTAAGGTGCAGCAATTCGCCCCTCGACCTCCACTACATTCTATACCACTGGAATTTGCATTAGCGCCAACGACGGCGTCACCCGGACTGCCAAGAAGTCATGAACTCAAAGCTTCCGTGTAGAAATGTCCACGGCAGTTGAAGCTCCCTCTTCACCTCAATCCGTCGATCGCCGCAGTCGCTCCTGTGACCAACCTGCCAGGCGCGCGGCCCTCTCTTGTTGGGGTCAACCGTGAAACTCGTCGCTTCCTCGCGAGGCACGCTCCACGTCCCGTATCCTGCGCCAGATGCAACGGCACGCGCCTCTTAAGTGCTTTTCGTGGAGCACTGTGAAAGGCGATGCGTTGGTGCCTCGGCGGCGTCCTCTTCCCTCTTCCCACGACCGACTGCGTTTCTACAATACAGCACGTGGAGCCTCTTGTGCGCCGAAGCATTGACTGGCCAAGCCCTTCGTCGCTGCTCCAGCTCCACCGTATTCAAGCTCAGTTCAGTAATTTGCGGCTGAGCTTGCGCCAATTCTGAGTCGGGTTTCCGACATCTTCTTTCGCTTTGGCATCGCCGCAATTGGCTGACGATTTAGAATTTCCTCTCCTCTCCTCCGTGCCCAAAACTACCGCGCAAAGAAATGCCGAAATAAGTCACAGTTCGTAGTTGCTGAAGGCAGAGACGTTGAAGACGCCCACTCACATACTCTCGGCCTTTGGCTTTGCTATAGCCTTACGCAGCTCCTTCGAAACACATCCGCCCACAACTACCTGCGAGCTCCTGAGGAAATAAAAACAATTCTTCTAATTGGTTTACGTGAGAGCATTGCGATAGATTTTGGTGCTCGTAATCCAAGAATACACTTATCATATGGTTATAATGTTTTTAAAAGCGCATTCAAACGAAAATATGCAATTCCTGTTCTTCCGAACACAACCAAACTCTCTGATGTAGCAAAAACTCAAGTACGGTGAAAATATCATTTTTATTCACAGAATTTGGAGAAAAAGCTGGAAAAATTAGTTCTTACTACGTAGTATTTACTTTAAGTGTATGATAAATAACATAACTATTCACTGAAAGGTAAGTATTTACTTCAAAAGTTTTTATACACGCATTTACTTAGGTGATCTGGGTTGTCCGGGTGACGCCGCGTCGAAGGCTGTGTTGCCGACGTTTCGACCATCCTGTCG